CATTTTCTGTGATCAAATCTTATTTATTCTCTAGATTATCGATGCCGTGATATCAACTTCGGTGCATGTGACCGCCTTCCTTATAATAGAACTATATTACAAGTCCATGCTCTAGAAGAAATTACAACAAATGTTGGCATGTTATCGAATTACGTCAGGGGTTGTCATCCCGATATTGACTTTTATCTCTGCGCCGTGGCTATCCCAGAATGCTCATCACCGGAAGGCCACAGTCCTCGCCCGTTTTGTCACGCGTTCTGTCTAGAGATTCTTGAAGGTTGTGAGGATGCAATGACTCAGATTGGTATATCCATCAACTGTAGTGTGTCGTCGCAAGATCATCACGTCACGAACAAGTGTATACAACCAAACAATTCGACCACAGCATTATGTACGTTACCTATTCTATTATCACGCTTACATATACTTGTATTCTTGTCTACGTTCGAAGTTGTTATTTAGTTATGTGGCAAAAATAATAATATTATAAATCTAATCAGTCAATTGTGATTCAACCTCATTAATAACGCGAACGATTGGCGGCATAAATCGGCAATTTTTGTTGAATAACAAAGTATCATTAATTATCTTTTTCAGATAGCAGTAGGTGTAACGACAATGAGTTTATGTGTGGTAATGGCAGGTGTGTTCTCATGGCTGATGTTTGTAATCACAATAACGACTGCGGCGATTCGTCGGATGAAACAAATTGCTGTAAGTATAAACCAATCAGAAGTATCATAACTTACTGAATATCGTTACCAATGCATTTGTCGCTTTCTACGAAGAGATCTGATTAGATAACAAAAAAACTCTTTCGGGTAACGTGTAATTGAAACTACGGAAATAATTCGCATAATTTTATCCCGATTTCCAACATTTCTTACTTCATTTCTGGGTAACACAACCTAGCAGCAAGCAATATCGATTGTGTTGATGATATCGGTGCACAGAAATTTATATTCTAGATCAGCGTAGTCCATCACACTTGCTCGCATTTTGCTTGCGTTCGCATACATTGTGACTGGTTGGGAAAATAACGACAGTTTGCATTCAGAAATTAACTACATGCGCAATAGCACTTTTCGCTGATGTTATTAAATATTCTAATATGTGTCCCTGATAATAATGAAACGTTGTCATAGCAACTTGACAGTGGGTGTTGATCAGTGGGGCGGCATTTATTATCAGACATTCGCGTGCTGATTGGAAAAAAATGTAAGCAAAATGACGTCACAGTTCCGAAATGATGTAAGAATGACAAACATATGGTAATTATCAGTAATTTAATGACCTTATTGATATTTGTTTCAGATTACCCGTCATGCCATCGCATAGAACTGGACGTTTGCAATGTACTGCCTTATAATTCGACGATATTACCTGCTAGTAGTGTCAAAGGTCTGGATCAAACATTTACGTTTGTTTTCAAATTCGCGGGAAATTGCAATCAACATTTCAAATTCGTTATCTGCGCCATGACTTTACCAGAATGCCCGGCTGCTGAATCTCTTGTATCCCGACCAGTCTGCCGGCCATTATGCAAAGAGGTGCTGGAGGATTGTGGGTATATTTTGGAACAATTACATATTCAGATAAACTGCAGCATGACGCCAAAGGTTCCAGATAACCAGGGCTGCATAGAACCAGACGACATAAGTCATGATATAGGTGAGTTATTACTCATAGTTCGACGAATTCGTATCGACCTTTGATGGTAGGGAGCTTCCGTGACTTATATAATACGATGTTATTAAGGTCACGTCATTAATATAATTAATTTGCTATATTTTATTTTTATGTGATTTTTAAATGAAGTACGGGCAATGGTACGTTGTACGCACGTTGTATACGTCTCTATGAGTCCCATATCACAGATGACGTGGCGCCGCGACCACCGCCCTTCAAAATATGATTATTTATAATGTTAATAACATTTACTTTTTCCCTTCCTATTATAGATTCGATGTGTCAACCAATTACAGTGGAAGCATGCAACATATTGCCATATAACCAAACTCTGTTCATTCCGAACAACGTGACTGCGAATGTGACTGAATATATCGAATCTGTCAGGGGTTGCCATGAACATGTGGATTTGTTTCTTTGCGTGCTGGCGTTTCCAGAGTGCCCGGTGTCGGGTGTTATGCCTCGTCCGGTTTGCCCATCATTGTGTGAAGAAATCCGCGCTAGTTGTGCTGGTACACTACCTGCCATAGGTGTGAATGATAGCTGTGGTATCTCACAAAGGGGTACTGATGTCAATGAGGATCGCTGCATCGGTTGAGGCGCATAACGTGTCCGAGACTTTTAGTGAAACGACATGCAGAAAAACGTTCGGACAAATCTGTAATTGCTTTGAAAATATGTTGAAAAGGAATTATTGTATTAAAAAATAGAGAAAGCTGCGAGGACCGATAATAAAAATACATGTATATAAATGGTAGTAGACACTCTTGTATTTCATATCACAGACGCCACTGACGCTACTTGATATTTTTTCAATAATGAAATATAATCTGGACCATGATTACGCTTATTTTGCCCAAGACCCATATCTATTTCTGCAACTAGAAGTTGATTTTTTTCCCTGGTTTCAACCGCAATCTTTGTCCACTTTCAACACTTGTTTTGTTTTCGTATTCTTAATAGAATAATTTCGCATACATCTATGTACTATTTGTTTCTTCTCTCTGCAAACTGGTGGCGCTTTTCTACTGGTATCTTAAGAATGAGACGATAATTCTCACTGATATCGGAATAATACTATAATATGGGCACAATATACAAGTCGGAATCTAGATCGACGTGAGAAAAACATACATGTATCTTAACATTTAAAAAATAAAAATAAGCAGTTACCATTTGGTATGCAACTTCACAAACTGTGAGCTAGTGTGAATTTTAATTGGAGTGTACTCTTTACATGTTTTAACTTTGTAATATCATTTGAGTATATGCAATTAAATACTTATTGTGAAAAAATGACCTCGTGCTTTTACGTAGTATGCGAAGTGTGCAGTAAGTTGTGCATGTGTTTACTTATACGCAGCATTGGAGACGACACAACAACACTGTGTACATGCGAAAAATTCCATTATGTATAATTCCGTGTAAACGATTTCAAATCAATGGGGCTTATGTACTGCATTATTTGCTCTGTTCGTTTAAAGATCTTGCAAGTTTCAAGTTAAACTTTCGGGGATGAGGATATTATAATGGCCCCTTTGCAACTTTTTTTCACACAAAGCTAATTTACTACTATGACAAATAAATAACTAAATAAATGTTCGCAATTGGATCATGCACGGATCATATAAACAGAATCCCCCTCACCAAACAGCTATTCGGGTGTGTTGCTGTGCCAATACCTCAACTACTAACGTATAACATTTCATATCCCTCGGTACATAGCAATCTTGATATATTACATTTATGATGAATCGTTCAGAATTGTTATTAAGTCTAACCATAGACCTTAGAAAACAGGAACATGCTACTGTAGGTATCCCTTTCATGTAACCTTAGTTATAATCCTCTACCCAATTAACACCTTAGTGAAACTGACAATAAAGCTATGTCAACAACACTGTTACATCCTCTCCTGTTACATAAGCCAAACATGGCTGCCAGATAGTAGCTACACAAAATGAGCCAACTTTGTGGTTAGAATATAATCAGAAAAATCACATTTGATTAAAACTGAATAGCCAAGCCCATTCTATTGATACGAGTGAAACTAAAAATTGCAAAGTTAACAGTTTTTATTCCACAATGAAAACAGAAAAGGGAAATAAAAATGGTCAGTTTTCTCTACAAGAAAACAAAACTGTCTAAACGTAAACAATGACCTGTCAACATTTGTGTCATTATAACAAGTGGATTTTTCATCATATTTAGAAGATATAGCATAGTGCACTTGTTATACACTGACAAATGTGAATATTGGCACAGCATAACTTATCAAACAAATAAAAAAGCGTAGAAAAGTAAGAACTAAAACTGTTTCAGATGTATAGGTATATGTATTAATGGGATTATCTATACAGGGGATTATAACCCAAGTTGCACACAGGAAACTGGATTTTCTTTTGTCTTAGACAGAAGTTGCATGTCCCTGTTTTCTAAGGTCTATGGTCTAACAATCTAAAAATTAAGTTGTATTGTCGGCAAAATTTTAGTTTGTAGTCCTTGGCACGACAAGTAATCCATGATAAATGCAACGGTCTTCGCAAGATATCCGTGTTTGAGAGGTCATGCAACACCATGACATCACGCTCCTTTTTGAATTCATAAGGTGATTATTTTGGAAGGAAATTGACTGTGTCCCACCTGGCGAACTTAGAATACAATATGAATCTAGCACTATCTAGCATTAGAAGTCACGTGGTCGTGACAGTCCTTTACCCCAAGGGATACTCTATTCAGATATGCTAATTAAACATGGACTTCACTTCGATGCGTGTCCAACCACTATGACATCATCGCTTACATTGCTACCTTCGTTCGTTTACCACGTGTGTTCACTAAATTGGAGAAATAGAGGTCATTGAGATGAAAGATCTACATAAAAACATCACCGACTTCTGTGCGAATATTTGAGGTTTCGTTGTTTTAGAAAAATAAAAATACCGATAATAATAATAATAATAATAATATTTTATTAGCCTTTGGAGCGGCAAACAAAGAGAAGAAAACAACCAAATCATACATATTTGAAAAAGGAAAGAAGAAAAATCACATTAAATTCAAACTTTCTTTTCTATACTTATACAATTGAGTAATAAATACTCTAACTTCCTTTGATACAATATTCCCCAAATTATTGTTGACTTTCCACAATATGTCGCTAAAAAGTACATTAAACTTAAAATTAATTCCTCCAGAAAGAAAGTTATTAATAAGTGTTGGGTCTACTTCAAGGTTTTGAACTTTGTACATGAAATCTCCATAAAATGTGTGTCTTAAATGATAAGTTGCTTTGCATAAAAATAATTTGCTTTGTTGACAGATTTGCCGTCTGTGAATCGAAAATGACCATGGCATTTTGTACCCTAAAAAACTCTGTCTGAGAATGTTCGAAAGTGTTAGTATTCGTTATTGTTTGGGTATTTTATTATGGAACTGCGATTATCATAGCTAGTTTCAATCGTAACTTTAGACAATAACACTTTTTTTTTTAGGTTAGCGACGTCAGCCATTTTGTCTGCCTTTGCCATAATGGTTCGGGGAAATTGCTGAAAAATCGGATGTCATCATTTCTGTAAGTTAAATATTAAGTTGTTATGGAAAATTGTCATCGTCTCAGTAGGGCGATCGTAAGTCTGCGTCTGCTGATGTGTACCCCCAAAATGCATCTCGGAACGTTTCACAAGTTTATTTTGGACATTGAATTAGAATTTGTGAGAGAACTATGATAGTTTACACAATGTTAGTTTCATTTTTTTCGAAGTTTACAGAAACTTTTTTCCCCAGATAGCAATCTTGGCTACATCTTGTTATTTTCTCCCTGACCGCTGGCAGACTGCCGCAGTGTAAGTGACACATAAAGTAGTTGTGTGGATTCATCGTGCAGTTTTTATCCGAATATATTTTTTTATTTCAGCGTTATTATTCATACCAAATCCTGACAATGTAGTATAAATCGGGATTTATTTAAAGAAAAAAAACACATTACAGAAAACCCCAATCGATGGAATCGTCTTCAAACGAATATGTAATGTTATATCGGCAGGATGCTAATTCCACTTTGTTTTAAATGTTTACCGAGACACGCATTCTAATAAAAGAAACGAGAGTTTCCTAACCGTTCCTCTGGTAACTGTGATTAAAGTGTATACGTAAATACAAAAGGCCTGCTTGTAAACAGAAAAACACTGTTACATAACAGTGACTGACAAGAGTTCACGCACAAAGGACTTTCACTTTTTATTCTCTGCCCTCGACTCTAACTTAGATTTCAAGAAAATCATTATAAACTTGGCAAACAATGAGTACTATGATAAACCACGTGGTTTACAGTTCCATAAACATAGTTGACCGCGTGTTATTCGAAAGCATGCCGATTAAACCGAATTGGTTTTGGTAAAACGACTCGGCCCTGTGTGTTAGCATGGAGGTACCTCCATGGTGTTAGTTAACAACAGAACGTAGTGTCTGAAAATGTGTTAACGTTCAATGAATGTCTCTAGTGTTGAAGAGACCTGGCTTTGCGATGATTGGGTCGATAATGGCGCCCTGAAGTTCGAGGTGTCAGAATGTACAGGGGCGTTAACATCATTTATCATGCAAATTAGGTGATATTCACACTTACGCTCGTCATTTACATAAGCTCAGACCAATCACGACTGCCAGGGTTCATACCGCAGTTCCTCTGGCATCCGTGTCTGCAAACACATGTGCGTCAAATTTCGCCACTGAGATGATGAACAGACAATCCAAGTATACATGTACTACTACAGATGCAATCGACGATTTACAACAGGTAAGTCAATGTTCATAAACACATATAACCACTCTTCACGGTAATTTAGAAGGGTTCACTGGACTGTGATAGCACAGTAATACCGCGTGTACTACGAAGATCTTCCTCAATTGTTTACGAACTCGTCAATGTGAAAACAGCATTAGCAACCACTAAATCGTACATGTGTGCACGCACAGAATGGTCTGACTTTACGGCGATGTCAGCTGATAACCAAATCTAAATAACTTCCACCCACTCTAACAACGCCGTAGGCTAGTACCATTACTAGTCTTATGTGTGTAATAACATTATCCGCATTTTCAGTGACTTATTTAAAGTATAATGTACAGTGTATTTCCTGAACCATAGATAATCAATACGGCCATATGAGTATGACTACTCTATATGTAAACTGACTCCCTCTTTTTAACATGCAGACGCAACTGAAAGGTCAGCCAAGTTATACTTACTTGGTAGAAAAAAATATCCAGGACCATTTCAACGAATCAAAAATCACCCGGAATAATATTGTTCACTTGTATGTGTATTCAATAATTTTAATGGGTGTACTATAAGAGCCCAAACGTAGGACCATTACAGCTTCCTTGTAGAACGTAAACACTGTAGGAGCCCGAACGACACCGGGCGGTCCCGGGAGTCATAATACTAGTACACTCAACAAAAATATCCAATAATTATAAAATTTATTATGACCTGGACAAAAGAAGGTATTATCTATTTGAATTTGTTTTGGCAGTATATAATAAGACATGATTTATATGGTCACCATATTTGCTCCTCAACATGACAGAAAAATCACAATTATAGATGATATACAGTTGTAGCTCCGTCACGTTTACGTATTTATTTCAGATAAATTTGTCCGTATACAAAACTACGAACATGCAGCATTGTCGCAGTACAAGTATTCCTTACGCTATAAAATACCTTACCTTCTGTGCAAATGGATGATTCTTTTGATTATAGTGTCGTTACACTAACTGGGCTCATGGAGCTAGAAAGGAACATCCTGTGATGTCATTAGCTCCGATTTCAAATAGTTTATTGTTCATTTGCCCAGATGCATCGGTTCCGTGCCTATCAAAATGCGATTCCTGATAACAACTCCATGTGTGAACTTTTCCATTGTTGACAAATACGTGGTAATTGTCAACGATTCTCACTGAGTGAACAATGCACAATGCTTGCTTCACGAAAGAGTGTCAGAACGGACGAAGTTAAAAGTAAACTACATGTATATGTATGCGTCAGATGGGAGCAAAATATGGATATTAACATTGCCGTTGGCGGCGCATTTGTTTATCAGCTGTCAATTTTTAGATGGAATTAATTTTCACTGAAAAGAATGTTTTGTATAAAGTTTATCTTTACTAGGCTGAATCATCCCTTCATTTAAATTCCAAGTACATTATTACAGTACTTAAATTGTGCATTACTAATATAATGTAACATCTACAGTAAATGTGGAACTTGATTTATATAACAAAATGTGTATTCAAGTTCGAGACCAATTTCCAAAAAGTGTCGAGGTGTATTAAAAGAAGGCTTCTTAAATACTTGTCTTCCGCCCTTTTTTTATAAGGACGGCTAAAAGTATTAGACAATTAGCACGCTGGCCAGAAACTTTTCACGCCGGATGCTAGTAAATAACTTCTAATACTAGTATACTGTCGGGTGATAACTAACGCCGATTCGGAATCATCTAGAACGCCACCAGCGGCAAAAAACAGTAAAAAATCTCTTGTGTTTCTGTTCATACAGGGAAGACTCCTAGTGCGAAGTGCTTGCGAATTTATTATTCAAGGCTTGGATTCGATATGCTGATAATATTCTGTAATTTTGAAAGACCAATTAAAAAAAAAATATACCATTAGTACAAGTACCGACGGTCGATGCCATCCCGTACTACTCGAATACGTACTTTGCAGTTTTTGTGTGATAATATTATTATAATACACCCCTTTCCTGTAGCAGTGATTTAATAAGAGATAATAGTTAAAAATGTCAGTGTACGTTTGCTCATTTCCTATCAACCACTGCGTTCAGTAACGCTACACGTTTAATTGACGCACGCGAAATACAAACGATCGCAAAGCGCGCGAGTTTGCTTCTCGTGATGTCGTATTGCTTACTAGTAATCTTTTATAATGTACTCAATTTATTTTCAAATTGATCAACGTTTTGAATTATGTCGAATAATTGGGATATTTGTTCACCCAGCTATTATATAGTAACCCCTGTCAGAACAACCATTAACCATGAACAGTGAATGCAGCGAAAGACAACGCTTATCACTGTTTTATTCACAGGGCCACGTCAATGGAGGATATGCTCACTACAAACAACACCAACGCAAGGCTCCCGTTCACGACACCGTCCACGACACCGTCCACGAGTTTAAGACAGTTGATGGTGGTATAGGGACCCGCCGTTTTTCGAGTAAAGCAAAACTTACATCATGGGAAGTACCGGATAAGAAAAAAATCCCCCAAAACAGAACACGCAGGAAAACAAGCTATTATATTGCATTGCTGGTGTATATCTCTGTGTTCGTGAGCATAACCGCCGGTGTATTATACTATACAGGTAATCAAATAGTAATTTGAGTGAATCATAACAATGTATCTAACGAATGGCGAGCATTTCATTGGGACTCGTGCACACTAAAGTCATCAATACAATCAATGTATTACATGTAGTATTAATATTTTTCTGATAAATGATTAACAGAAATGGCCTTGAAATCAATGTGAAGTAATTGTGAATATTAGTCTGCGATTTACACATTGTAATATTGTTTCATCGAACATAACTCAGATGTGTACGACAAAAAGTGTTTTCGGATCATGCTCAATTATAGTTATCAAACAACTATAGTTATTATAGTTATACTGCAATGTCAAAACAACATTATTGAAATGAAATGTTAATCATCAAAATGATAATGTCGTCATTACCGTTTCCAGTTTCCAGCATTATGAATTCCGAGACAGCAAAGGCGACCGAAGGTCACAAAGACCTTGTTACCACACCTACCAGGGATATCGTGACATTAAACCAAGGCAAGTTCAATATTGACGACAGTTTCGCATAGATTAATACTTCTCTCTCAACATACAAAACTACGTGTATGGACGGAAAAGGAAATCATGTTGTAATCGAATAAAAGCAGGACATGTTCCACATCCATATATATATATATATATATATATATATATATATATATATATATATATATATATCGATTAATAATATCTCATCCAAACTTTTCATTTCATAATTTGATCAACAGATATGATAGTATTTCACGGGGAACTTCGTTTGGAACTTATTGAAGGGCAAGCCGTGACATTTTCAACCGAATTAAATGAAGCTGGCACCGATGAATTCAAGAGTCTGGCAAAACAAATTGAAGAGTCGGTAAGAAAGTGAAATAGTTTTCAGTGTCACTCTGTATTTATGACTGTCATTATCATATCCACCATTTTGTTCATCCTCGTACGTGGCCAGTCTTGTTAAAACCATTACCGGTAATACCGTATATTGCCACATTATTGCCACCCGTCCATCCGGGTTCTGACTGTTTTGAAACTTTTCTTTGTTTTAGCTTGATGACGTTTATGTACACAGTAATCTCTCTGCTCTTTATAACTCTTCAAAAGTCACAGGATTTAGGTAAGTTTCTGTTAATATATAGACCAACACAACTGTTGAACATACGACATGTTTCGGGTCAGCGCGTGCGTCAATTAAAAAAAAAGACTGGAATTTGAATAAGATGTCCAAATATAGGGCAGTCGTGTGTTTAATCGAAATTTCTGATCAAGTGTGTGTCATTTTTTAGTAATTGAACATTCAGTGACACTAAGAATGCATTATTTTCTTTTCAGGAATGGTAGTATAATTTCAGAATTTGATATTATTTTCAATCTGGGCCAACTAACGGACGATGTCGATGACTTCTCTGAAACTTCCAGCATTTCAACTGTTGATGTATTTAACATACTAACCCGGACAGTGGCCGAATCGGCCTTTATTAACGACTCGTCTATCTTTAGTGGTGTTGATCCGGATTCGATAACTATTGTGAAAGGTGGGTAAACAACGATTTAGAAAGTGCACTCAAGTACGAATTACTAGTATGTCATTATTTACGCAGGATTTTGTTCAATTCTGTTTTTATATTTTCGTTTATGTAATTTTTTAAACATTTGTTATCTCCTATCCAGCTATTTCAACCAATGATGTCCGATCTACACAGTCACTCACCAAAGTTCTGCGATCTACACAGACATTCGTTCCCCAGACAACACAAATTTCGTGGAGCCCCGATGAAGACTATGAATGCCACGATATCAACGTCAATGCATGTGATAGTCTTCCTTATAATAGAACTATATTACCAGTGAATGCCGTGGAAGCAATGAACACAAATGTTGGATTATTATTGAATATCGTCAGAGGTTGTCATCCGGATATAGACGTTTACCTTTGTGCCATGGCAATCCCAGAATGCCCGTCACCAGGAAGTTATCGTCCTCGTTCGTTATGTCCCGCGTTCTGTCATGAGATTCTTGAAGATTGTGAGGATGTAATGACTCAGATTGGTGTACCCATTAATTGCAGTGTGTCGTCGCAAGGTGATCACGTGACAGACGAGACAAATACGTGTATACAACCAAGCAATTCGACCAAAGCGCTAGGTACGTTTCCTACGTCATTCGTACGTATGCATATAGTTCGTCAGCAATTTTGTTTTTAGAACTACTCATTCTATTCAAATATATGCCGCGTAACATTGCAATAGAATTAGCCATATAATTCTTACGCATGCATATAATCTTGACTGCGTGTAAAGTTCTATGTTTATGAAACGTCAACAATTTTAGCGTTAGAACTACTGACTAAATTAATAGTTTTTATAGTATATTTCGCTTGATATTGCCAGTATAATTATTCATACAACTGACACTATGTTCATAATTATCTGTTTCAGATAGTCGTAGATGTAAGGACGACGAGTTTGTTTGTGGTAATGGCAGGTGTATTCTCATGGCTGATGTTTGTAATCACAAGAACGACTGCGGCGATTCGTCGGATGAAACAAATTGCTGTAAGTATCAACCAATCTTTACCAACATAATTTAATGACTAGAATAGCAATATGCTTTTGTGTAGGGATCTGATCAGATCAATGAAAACAGTCATATACATACATACGTCGCTGGAGAGCGTGTGAGTGAGACAAAAGAATATTCGCAAAACCGATTCTCACGAAACGTTACTTTAGGAAACATAATCTAGCAGTATTCTTAGTATTAATAGTGTGAACAACAATGTTCAAAACAATTTGAAACAGTAACAAAACATGATTATTATTAAATGACGTCACTGATTTTTGTTTCAGATTACCCGACATGCCATCGCATAGAACTGGACGTTTGCAATGTACTGCCTTATAATACAACGATATTACCTGCGAGTGTTGTTAAAGATCTTAATCAAATGTTTACATTTGTCTTCCAATTGGCGGGAAATTGTCACAAACATCTCAAATTTGTTATCTGTGCCATGACTTTACCAGAATGCCCGGATGCTGGATCTCTTGTATCACGTCCAGTCTGCCGACCATTATGCGAGGAGGTGCTGGAGGAGTGTGGGTATATTTTAGATCAATTACATATTCCGATAAATTGCAGCATGACGCAAGTGGTTCCGGATTATCATGGCTGCATAGAACCAGACGACACAATTCATGATTAAGGTGAGTTATTACGTCATCGACTTGCAAAAAAAAAAAAAAAAAAAAAAAAACTAGAACAGAAATATTGTTTACCCCGGTACCCCGGGCCACATGTAATAACCTAATTATTATTAAACATTTATTTTCATTATCATTCACCTTTTTTCCTATTATAGATTCGATGTGTCAACCAATTACAGTGGAAACATGTAACATATTGCCATATAACCAAACTCTGTTCATTCCGAACAACGTGACTGCGAATGTGACTGAATATATCGAATCTGTCAGGGGTTGCCATGAACACGTGGATTTGTTTCGACAGATAGACAAATGTTCAGAAAAATCCACTTTGCTTTGATATTAGATCTAGATTTGCTACAATGTGCCCAGTACGCCACTATTAGTATTTTCCAGGTTAGAATAATCATTTCTACAATATGATACTACACGACTGAAATACCATTGCACTGACAATAATGAATAGTATTGGCCCCCCAAATACACATGGGATTATTATCTTCTCCCAGATTTGACTAATACACGGACAATTGCTTTACTATACATCGCCACATTCGAGAATGTCTTTTTTATATTTTTTTTATAATAGTTGGTTACTTTTTTTAAATTTTTTTATATTAAGGAGAAGTTATTATTTGTTATGTAATTAAGTTTAAGACATTGTAACGACTTTTTTTACGTGGGTGCTAATAAAAAAAAAAACTGTAACAAAATGACCATGTGATTGTATCTTGTCCGTGGATTCCAAACATGAGTTATTCCAACATGGCTTGTTGTAAAATGGCCGTAAAAAGTATAGTATAGTTTGTTTCATCAAAGACATTAGAAAATGATTCGCACTACTGCCTGTGTATTAGATTCAACATTGTGCAAGTCCTTGTCTCTGAGCTCATCATTGCCCAGTGTAATGTAGATCGGAAGTGTGGACTTTGCATAAACGTACATTTTAGTTACATATCATTTCAATTTAGCCTAAGACAACTGAAGTAACAGATTAGAAACATCTATTTTTTAATGTGTAAATCTCGCCCATCACATGTCCTGTGATACGCTTCATCGCCGTAACTACGACCGCTTTACGGCATGTCGTAGATGGGAACAGTCTGGTACAAACCTCGGAGACACAGTGTTGTTTAATAAAACAAAATGTATACGCCACTTGAACCCAAATACAATAAATCTGCATATGAAACTCAATATGTGAGCACTTGACCGGAAATTCAAGAATTAATTCTACAGCTTAAAATTACTTTGAACGTCACTACCTACAGAGTTTGAAAAACTCATTTCCAAACAAAAATAATTGTCGTTTACGTGTGATAATCGCAGTTCTTTTGAGCAATTACGAGTCTTATTTCCATTGATTCTGTTATGTGGTGCAATAACTGCGAGTTGCATAATTCCAATAACGTATTTTGCACCCCACTGTGTGTAGTGGATATGGTCATACGACACGTAGCATATGTAAAATCCCCATATTTCAGCACAAATTAGTAGGGTCTCCACAAACGTTATGCATTGTGCCCCAAACATGTTGCATTGTTGGCTTTGTCCCAGCAAAGGTATCAACATTGGTAGCGAATGTTCTAAACAGGATGAGGTAAAATAATCTAACGTCAAAAAGACGTTAAAACTATCATTTTCGTCTGGGAGAGCTATTTGCGAAGTTCCCCTTAAGTTTACAATATTTACTCTACAATAACCCTAACCCAATAATACATAGCTAATTCAATGATTTTATTATCTCTCAAAGATGTGTAATTGGATAATATTTTTTAAAGAAAATTCTACAACGGTATTATTCACAATACTAGTATGTGATTTGCATGCTTACCGAACATAGTTCAGACTGCATACAAATAACACGGATTGGCGATATGGAAAGACGTCATATATATATATATATATATATATATATATATATATATATATATATATGCAACAGAGGCATATGTTAAGGTGGACTTATAGTTATAGCTGGATAATGGTGAAATAAATTTGCAATCACTGATAACTAATCCACGTTTTATACTATGACTCGCATATGCACCACATTTTACTTCCATTTGACATCAAATTTATCTCTAGGTGGTTCAATTGACCCTTAATTGACCTCTAAAATTAAATAGTATTATAATTACGAGCAAAACCAGACTATTTAGTTGAGTTGTATTTATTTTTTCTATTTCTAATATACTTGCATACATACATGACTATTTATCCGGGTGATGCAGGGTAGAGGACTCTGATAAAAGTCGCACACATAAATCTCAAGTACATTGATTTGAAAGTAAAAAAAAAAATACATTTTTGCATACAACTTGAATTAACTTTCGAAATAATTAATTTTAGTGAATCCTTTGCCAATTGTGGATTTCCGTTTATTCGTAGATGCATGTAATTCGCAGGAAAGACGTGGTAGTATTTATTTATAATTATACATAGGTTTTAGATATTTAACCTTGAATGGTTCTTGCAAGCTCGTTTTTATTTTGTATTGTAGGCTTCTTAAGTTTACGAAATGTTCGTAAAATATAGGTCACTTCACAAATCAATGAAGCTGAGCGAGATATGCCTTCGGATTTAAATGAAGTCACAATAACAACTTTGGCCACAGGTTAAAAGAGTTGCATTGGATGTCTAAATAGTCAGATAGTGACTCAGATCGTAATATAAAATGTCGATCTTGATTAAGGTGCTTCAAATGAACGTAGGCATCGTCTATAAGTTTACATATTTCATGCTTTATCCGAGTCCCCGGCTTATACTAGTAGTACATATTAGGGAAAATTGAAAATGTTAAATGGCTTCAAAATCATACGGGAAATGTTAGCGTCATACGGCACTAATGATATTATTTCTATAGTTGCAATTCATCCAGTTCGCCAGTAATTTCCAAATGCTTCAGGGCTGTAAAAAAAATAAAGTAAAAATTAAAACATAATAATTCCACGCTATAGTTTCCGTATCTGTTCTCTGCAGAAATGCCACATTTAATCATTATACGTACAGACACATAGCGAGAGACGATGGTGCATATTGTGTGTCTATACTATTTGTATGTTTTGTTCAGATAAAATACCCATTAAAACAACATTTTCATCAAATTTGTACTAGGTATAATATATAATTGTCAAGAACAAAGATTTTAACAGCCATGCTTCATCTAATAATTATTCAAATGCAAATTTAAAATCGTAATGTCTTTATGTGAGCGACGGAGCCCGGAAACGTTTTAATATTCATTTTCGAGATATGAACTGGTATAAGGTCTTCATATATGATGGCTTGAATTAACTTTATGAATAATATAACTAACATGGCCGAGGATGTCACCTACCTGCTACTGCCGACTGGAATCCAGCGTTGTAGTCGCATGCTACTTCATTTAGCATGTAGTCTTGTCGGTCGTCATACCAATAGTCATCAGACTCAGGGCCACCGACAAGTGCGCCGTACAGCACGTGGTGATTGGGTCCGTCAAATAGGAAACTGTTGAAGTTCTTACACTCAATTCCGGGGTCTGGGCACGAGCTGAAATAAAAAGAAGAAGAAATAGTTTGTAGCGTATTCAATGTAACAATGCAAATTGATATAATCATTTACTACAATTGTGTTTTGTGGAATAGTGGCCAATCATAGCTCTTGCTTGACGCGGTTTCGGTTTTTGCCCGCGACAAGGCACGTGGAAAGTTTTTTTTTCAAGTAAGAGAAATATGTATGGAACATCTAATTACCATTTCAATAGTGCCTGTTCCTAGAAAAGGTAGGAAAATTGGGTATACAACCACGTGATCTTGGCAGTATTTTCGGTTAAATAAGTGAAATTTATTTGTGAAAAAAAACCCAGAATATGCAGTACTACAAATTAATTAATGCAGTATTTCAGAAACGAATTAGAAACAACATAAACCAGAATCACATAAACTAGCACTGTTGTAAATATTGAGATTCGCTGACATTTGCCAAACTAATTATTTGTTGTTAGGGCAATAGTATACGTCTGTTTTGTTCCTAGAGAGTTTGACAAAATCAATATATTTCTTGTGGACTATGGCTTCGGGAAACTAGTTGGGAGATTCACAATCTCTCAGGGTAAATATACGTATGTTATTGCCCACATGGACAGTGAAAATAGTCGTAAAATATTAATTAATTATCATGTGATATGTTGTTAACAAAGTCGTTTAATAAGGTGAATTGGCGAAACGGCAGTTCCTTTTCTAATGTCAACTTTCTTTATTATGTTAAACTATGGTTTGTGTTACTGAACCGCAATTATTTATTTACTACTACTATAATAACAATTCAGGCCAGGCTTTTCACAAAATGCAAGATATTTGCACATTCATCATTTCTGTTCAGTTATGTAATATTTTCAGCGGAACAGTCTTTAGATTAGCATAACAAAGACTAGTACATCCAATAGCATCACATGACATCCAAGGAAACTCCTTTTTTATCCCTCTACTATTGGGTCTACGGTGGCATGTACTTGAGATATCTGGCACTTACTCCATTCTTAATTTTCAATATATTGTTACGACGAAAAATAAGGCCTGGGCAAAATCGCATATTTTATGCATTGCATGGAACCCCGGCGCTCTGTGCACACCCATCTCGGCTAAAACCGGAAATGAATTAAGCTGTTATACAGAAGTTTAAAATATAATGTACGTTCCAAACAATAGACAATTTTTAGGGTTCAAGGCGCGTTGCAAGAAATACACGTACTTTGAATTCTCAAATCCGAGGGACTGAACTAACTACTCACCTTGATCTATGATGCGGTCTTGTTGGTGGATCTTTCCCGAAGCCTACAACAAAGCTATGCCCAGCGTCGCCCAAAGCGTAGTGCACCTGTTTTACACCAAATTCACGATAAGCCGGAGTTCTCACTCCAAGGTCTGCCATTCTCAATGCAAGGAAAGCCGTTGAAGCTGAAACCGAAAAGTAATTAAACTTCTGAGTAATAATATAACGTACACACCAAATGTAGACGATTGGGCTCGTGTGATAGGTCGGCAAAATACAGACTCGTTCAAGAACAATCATCTTTCATTATAACCCCAGCAATATACTAAGTAAACAGTGAACATTATCTGACCGTTTATAGTTAACCTACTTGCATATCGGAGTGATCCCCAGGTGTGCCGAAAGGCAAGGCCCAGAGGGGTGTAGGTTATCCCGCCTCCTGGTAACCATGTGTTTAGGTAGTTCTTAGCATTCTCTGAGTATTGTGTCTTGTTGGTTAACTGGTATAAAAGTACCTGAAAAAGGACAGTTCGGGTGTATTATAACTTAGATTCTATCAAACCTGATATTGCCCAGTGACTTCTTTGTCTCCGTTGTTCCAATAGCATGAACCCAAACATATTGGAAATGAATCTTCATTTTGGGTTGACCAGATTTGTATACGTTATATGATATGAACTGCAAATACCCAACGAATGCACACCGTCTTTTCATCGCTGCAGACATGAACGAAATTTACCTGCGCTCCTGGCCTTTTATCGCCCCATGAAAACGCATATGCTTTCGCCCTGCCGTTGTACTCTACATAATACGCCTCTGATTCTGTGAGGTATTCCTCTTCCTCAGTTGCGCGATACAGCCATGCCGCCGCCCACATCAGTTCATCGCCAAACGACGTGGATCTGAAACGAAGTAGTGGGGACATTTAAATATTTGTCACGTGATATTTGCGTGGTATCATTGGGTGATTAAGGATAATGATATGATAAATAAAATTTGACCACTAGCATTACAATCGTGTCTCTGACGTAAAGATGACTGGTGTACGCGTAAGCAATGTAACTTTAAACGACAGGTGTGTAAGTCGTTTATGATGCAGTACATCTCTTAAATAAAAACATTGTTTTATTTACGGGCGTCGACAATCAAACATTGTGACGGTATTCTAGTCTGTCAGCTAGTCTTAGTCTAGTCTGTCAAGACACCGAAGAGCCTTGTTGCTAGACGCTATGACTTCTACGAAAAAAAAAAGTGTATTGTCGAACGCCATACGGTGTACGACTTGTAGCGCAAGTATACAAGAAGTGTATATATTTACGCCAAAGTATTGATAATGTGTCACTTACTGACTGTATGTAATAGTACACAATACGAAAGTCGATATAAAGAGTACTAGTAATACAAATTTGACAATTATACAACTACATGTATATTGTTGGCGCATGCCCAGTAGGGAATCACGCCCGAGTTACGCACCACGTGTTTTATCAGTCAGCACTTATGGAATCAGTTTGCAACAATACATCAGAGAGTATTTTACCAATTTCTATTTAACCATTCAATTTTCACATTGTATATTTCAAGTTGTGTGTTGTTTGCGGGCTCATTTGATTGAACGCTGGAGATACAAGCCCAACTCTACCTTCCTGGTGACGCTTTCGTATCAAAGATGAGTTATTTGGTCCAGTGTATACTTACACATAGTAATGTTTTGATGGATATGTTCCTAGCCATTTTTTCGCTAATTTGTATAATGCTTTTGCTTCGTCCAGACAGAGTGCTGAGTACGTAGGATCTGGAGTGTAGGAAGGGGAAGTAGATTACAATTTGTATCTATTGCAACTCCATATTGCGATATGCTTAGTGAATATTTAGACTTTTGTAGGTAATGGAGATTCGCACAAAAAACGCCGAATGTGTTCGAATTTATTTATGTCTTAAAGTTACCCAACAGTATCGTTTGATCGAAAAAGTTTAAGATTTGTTCATTCAGTATTTTTAAGAGTTTCTTAACTTGAGAATCCTAGATGGTGGTCTTGATATTGTAAATATCGGTAGATTTGTTTTTCTTTATTACAATATCACAAAAGTACACCAGCTGACTATGATTGCAATGTAAATTAGGAGTAATAAGATATAGTATATTTTGTTTGTATGAAATAAAATATATCTTCAGATTTTGAAATTTCTTTATAGCAGATTACAAGAACTATAGTGCTACGCCGATTCACTTAAAACCATTATCCCCGAAAACATGCATAATTATACAAATAAAGAAATCGCATGAACACACATTAAGCATAAAAACTGCATGAGAGCTATTAATTGTGATCATTATTATAATATATGCAAAACGAAAAAAACATTCAAAAAAACTATTAGCATTCTCACCAACATCTTTGAAAATAATTGCACACGTGGCCAATGCCGCAGCGGTTTCACCTAAGACGTCACTTCCTGTTGAGTCTGAATCGAGATATTCTGCTGGTCGATCCATCTCCATATCTTCTGGCCTGTTCCACACTTGGTGGTCTGCCCCAGCATCTCCCACCTAAATTTCAAACAAAGGCGTATTTATATATTAAATAATCATGCCGTCTGATGGTTGCTACCCACATTTACATATCTGTAGTTTTGTTCTTTTGAAAAAATAACGAGATTACTAACTCAGTCATAAATACCGACAGAACTATCATATAAGTGAAATCGACAATGCGTTACTTTGCAGGCATGTAATGTTATTGTTTTGTTTCTAAAGTAATGGGTTAAGACGATTCTCTCTGAAATTACTTGCAACCATTAGCCAACATTTATGTTTTACTTGCTGCGATAAACAACAGGCTGTGGCAATGTTTTGTGCGTATTCCGAGCGGATTTGTTCAGCTACAGGAAAGCAGTCACGTTTTTGTTTCTTGAATTGACATCTTTACTATCAACTGCTGATTACCTGGTAGTAAAACTTAAAAGTGGCAGCATGACATCTGATGAAATAATCGTAAGCCCATTTAAGTGAGTCGCGGACGTAGTGCATGAGTCCTGCTACTTCGTAAGCATCCTTGTAGTCGATTACGCCCCATCCTAGGACGGTGGCGCTATACGCCATTGGCAGGCCGAACTTTACGTGATCGCCAGCTGTTGAAATAAAACCTATTTGTTACACATTCTTGGTGAAAATTTGTAATGATAATCATTGTTACACGTCTTGGTATGAATCAAACAAATATAATTTAGATGAACCGTATGGTTACTTAAAACAAATGAAGAACAAACTTGTTCAGATATTTAAAAATTCAAAAGTTGGCTTTCTCTAGCTTTTGGAATTTCACAGCCACCACGCAGCCTGTTCGAAGTTTATTATACGGGTTGTATATGTCGCATGGAACCTGACTGTGACGCTTCAATAACTTGAGGGCGCTGTCATGAGGGCAACAACGTTTTAATTTGGCTCATCATAAGAAGACGGATTTTAATACAATTTCTGGTACCAACAAGGGTGGGGGGGGGGCTAATCATGTAGGATATCGTTGGAAAGCTCTGGGTGTATAATTTTGAAAAATGGATATAGAAAATAAGTACATTAACCAATATTTGGAGGGGTCAAAGTTCACTTGACAATATAAATTAAGATGTTGTTGGTTAAAGCCACTTGTGTTTTAAATTTATGGGCATAATTATACTACTAGAAACCGTAAACATTTTATAATAGAAAAATATCCGTATTCTGTTGCTGTCATGGCCAATGCATATGTATTAAAGGTCGGTGGTCGTTGCGCTGCACATGTGCGACACTTGTGTTGATAAACATTGATTTCCCCACAATCCAATGCGCTCTTCTCATGGAAATCGCAAGTATGAGGTTTGACCTGGGCGCGACTTGCACTAAATACAGCCGATGACTTTTTCGATACCTTCCAATTACCTAAAAAATATCTAATTAATGCTTGCTAACAGTCAACTTGAAAGTTAAAACAAGTCTGCGCCACAACCTTTGAACGCAAAGGAAAATGTAGTATTATTACTCATAATAACCCGAAAGCCGTTTACCTTTATTTTTTTAAAAACAATTCTTTAAAATAAAGTCTTCGTTTTTTGTTTTTTTTTAAATTGGGTGGATCACTTTCAGGTTGTTCACAATAGAGTCTCGAAGAAGGTGAACGCGCTTTGTCGTTTTACGATACAAAACATTTCATTCAGATTGCTTTAGCGAAACTGCATCTTAATTTGGTGTTACATATGCGTAACGTGCTATACTTATTATTATACATCTTTTCCTCCCAGGAAGACATCATGGGAATGGCGAAATACAAAACGTTTAGAACAGAATCAGCAAACTTCTTTGTGTGGGTCGGTCAACTCATCACTGACCCCTGGGGGCAGCCATGTTTTTTTATTATTAGAGGACGCTTACACACGTAATCGTTCCATATTTGGAATTCGCGTTTCCTAATATGGTAGGATAAAAAAACCCAGTGAGATACCGCAAAATTACGGCACGATGTAACTTATTGCGTTACGGTGACAGATGTATAATAAAATCAAGTACTACTTCCTTAATAGCGTTGATAGAATACTCGCATGGAAACTAATGCTAACTGGCATGTACCGGCGCTAATAGAACCTACCGTCATACCATCCCCCAGTTAGGTTGTGGTACTTTGATATACCACGGTCACCAACGAACGAGTCGCCTCTCCACGGTATCCGCTTAGTTTCTGGCAGTGCACCAGACCGCTGGGCTTCATAGAAAAGTATTGACAGATCGAGAACCTCACTGTATTCGTAATGGCCTTCGGGATAAAACAAAACAAACTCGTAAATGAAAACGGTTTTTGTGTTTCACCGGCATAAATCAGTAAGCGATGTACTTAAGTGCGTGTACAGCCTTAATGTCAATAGTACTAACAAAGCGAGAAGTATCTGTGAATTCCTACTCCAAACAAACGTTTGATATTTTTCTAGAAAGAACAGCAATGAATATCATGTGAAGTAATAGTATTTAAAATCTCATGTACGACAATCTCCTCTTACGGCAATAATATGTTTTGCTTTTGTTTTTAATCTCAACACTATAATAGGCCATTGTCGTCACTCGATGGCTATCTTCTGCATGAATGTAAAATGCGAAACTTTTTTTTACGAACATGCCTCTATACACAACTTGTAATTCTGTATGATTTATAATCTATTTGTACGATAATGAATATGATTAAATTGATGCTCTATACGAAACGCATATTCATGATTGCATTTCCAGACCTTTCATTCATTTTTTAAATGACAGAATTATGAATTGAGAAAGAACACAAATATATCGGGAATTATTATTTCAAAATATGTTTGCACGTCGCTATATAACACTGCAAAGACGTTTGAATGTTTGCACTCTGCTCGTCTATGAATTTGTATTCACATCAACCTCGATTCAGAGCTTGATTACTTGTAATGGTCGTGCTTTAGCGTGATTACAATCTCTATGATTGGACAAAACGCAAATATGCAAGTTGAACACACATTCGTCTCTTTGTACTTACTTAATCCATTGGCTCGTTTATGGTTCTGTGATTTGGAGTCTTCGCGTTTAGTTTCTTCGAGAATGATTTCCCTCATCATCTCATCAATATCGTCCACAAACGAACCAGCAATGACCGAGCCGGAGGCGAGAATGCCAACGAACAGAATACATAAATATCTTAAAAACATGCCTACAAACAGAACGCAAACATCTTGGTCAGCTGTAATTTCAACAAAAATATAAGGATTGTTGAATACTTGTTGAAAAATAACGTTAGTGTATATAGTGCTCACACATTGATAATGTTGATCTTGAATGTGCAGAATTATATGTCATTTGCCATGACACTGAATCGGTGAGTACAGTTTTAATCATACATGTTTTTGGAAACTAATTATCAAATGTCAGTGGCTATTATAGCGATAACATATTCTGAAACGTTTTTCAGACAATATTATATTCATCCTCATCTTTAATTTGAAAATAGTAATACATTTCTGAATAAGTAAGTAATGAAAGTTTTCATAAGTATAACGTCGTCCACCATGATATTGCTTTTGCTTCTCGGGCATCATTTTCTCAATTGCACACAACAGTGACTATGATGTCATACTTTACCCATTATCTTTTGCTGGAGAATCAGGATGTGGACTACATAATGATGAAAAGTGATATAAAAATTTCCTAAATTTGTGGAGGCCTTTCATCTGAATGCTTGTCAAGGCTTCCCTTTCAAAGTATTATAGAACGTGTACATATGTTCTTTTTCAACGTCGGAATAGCCGCCATGTTATCCGTTCACGTCTATTAGAAAACAAGTTGTTCGTTCCTGACTGTTTTACTATTTTGTTTTGCCGACAACAAGCTGACGAATAGTCAGTCTTATCTATGAGTGCAGAAGATTACTTCCCATTCACAGGAACAGCGCCATCGTCGGCAGCAATAAAATAACTTATTTAGAATGGGAGACGGAAATTCGGCTTTAAATATGGGTTTTAAATATTCAATGGCTTTATTGGAAAAGTGTAGGCCAGTATCCCAAACTGCGTACATCCAATACTGGAATGTTGAGTGTAATTCATATCACCTGAAGTAATCTGGCACAACCGATAACGGCAACATTATAGTTGTGTTGTATTGCCTGCCAGTAAAGAGCGCCACAAACGGTGGAATGAAAAAACGTTCGTTTTATGATTCAGGTAATGACCAAACCAACATTTAATGCATGTATTCAAAGACATTATTTAATGAATGTTTAACGTCTGATATATATTAGTGATGTAGTAATGACTAATTTTAATGCACGTCACTGTATCATTTTTCAATTATCCTAAGAGGAGAGCATTGATTTGTCGCAATATTAATTGATAAAATGTCTCGTTAAAATGTTAAAAACACGTTTACGGTCATTACATTTGTATCATGAAATGTATATTTACAACTAACATAATCAGAAGTGGCAGCAGAAAAGTTTGCATGGGAGGGGGGGGGGGTCTGCTCACTATCCCTCGCGCCGAAGGCGAGACCTTACTAGGGCGTCCGGAGGCATGCTGCTCCGGAAAAAAATGTAATCTAAACCCTCTGAAACTCTATTTCCTGCATTTTGAGGGGCAATACATGCATTCCTCCTCAACTGTGTCGCATCGACACACATACGCAAAGGGTTTCAGCTTTAAATTGTCCCCTCCCCGGTGCCGCCACCATTGGTAACACCATTGTGCGCGAATTCAAGGCATAGAATGTGTTGTACGATGAAGTGTCACATGCACCGTGACTGCTACCTGGCATTCTGATTACTAACGTCTTTATGACATCGCAGTTAATCAGTCCACCAACGCTTCGTTGAATTCCTATACACTTCGAAAATGAAGATAGCATACATGGTGAATGAAGAATCAGCTAATTCATACGCAGAGCAAGCACAGTTACACCGTGTTTTTGTGTGTGTTTCTGTGTCAGCTTCGTCGTTCAGTGTGGATCCAATAACATGCGTTCAAGAATAACCAAATCACCGTATCGTTGCGACTGTACAATCATCATGACAACGTTCCGAACGTGGGATGGGCCAGGTGATAGTGTGATTAAGTTAAGTTAAGTTTATGTCCAGTGTACCCATATTGCTCGCATTCCTTTCTAAGCTAGAAAGCCACATAAACAATTGTTTCGACTATTTTTTAAAAATCCTTTTATTCACTGCGTAAAATTGCGTAAACATAGAATGAACGCGAAAGTCCTGTGTGAGGACTCCTCGTTCACGCAATTTATATTTATTTTTCAAGAATTTTTCATCGGAATCGCAACAGACTGCAAGCAAGTCTAAGTCGAGCCAGTACAACCCCTGTACAATCCGACTTGGCCCAATCAATCCACGGGAAACAAGGACGAAGCACTGGGCGAGTAGCGCCACTTTAAGTTAGTAGCCATTCAACTTTCTGGTGTAAAATACGTATTTTCATAAATAGTTTAGTTCAGATTATGTCAGTTCAATTTAGAATAATTTACGCAAACAAGTTTTGGTAATATAAGAAAATAAAGGACTGAGGAATAACTACATACCGTTGTTGGAGCCTTTACCTGGTACCATTGCTCGTGCTTTGTGCTTACAAGACCGAGATTCTGTCAGTAATATTGGTGAAAAGGCGTGGAAATATATACTATTACGGTGTACTTTTCAAGTGTTATGCAAATCAGTGTTAAATTGGTACTTATGTTGTATCTAATTTACATAACAATGTGAATACGTACATTGCAATCTCACCACTCAATGTTTACGTCACTTTCGCTGTACATTCAGTTGGTGACGAGGCAAAAAAAAACGTGCTGGCATTTGCATGTATATTGGATTTTTTTTACTGCGAAAACAAATATTATCTCGCCAGTAATAAACTTGAAATTGTGGGAAAATCAATTTGTGCAAGATACACACTTTACTGTGTCAATTTGAGAAATAAAACGTCGTAAAATTCTTTTCAAACTGATATTGACAATGATACTAATATGTTTCACGTTTCGGTTGTTATATGCACTCAGTGATTAATGTATTCGGGTTTGCTAGGATGCCGACATGGACATGTTTCAAAAATGTGGTTAATATTATGACATGTTTACAAAAATACACACAGACTGAATCCGTTTATCGCATGTTATTCAAACTGTACATGTTTTCTTGCAATACTTCAAGTTAATATTTAAAAATAATATTGATACTGTTTTATAGCCGGCTGTGCATAGTTCTAGCCAGTGCACTCGCCGTCGTTTAGCGTCTGAGACACGACGTGAAACAATTAATAAATAAATTGGACGGTGGCGTTGTGTTTGCATGGGGGAACGGAGAAATTGTGCGCGGATAAATACTCGTACTAGTGTGAGCTTATTACTATTTTATTACTATTATCTTAATTATATGGTCAATAATTACAGCAAATCGTTTCGGATTTTTGTGAGAATCACGAAATATTTAACGTTTTATCAGGCTAGTTCCCTAACAGGATATCAACGATTGTCACGTGTTTTTAGTGTGTTACTGGCCTATAATTAAAAAAAAAAAAAAAAAAAACTTTTGAACAAATAACAACTTATGAGATAACAATCAATTCTGCAATTCCGCATTGTAACTATAGCAACATACCGTCTAGTTGCAGTTTATAGGTAATATTACGTATGAACCATATCACTCACAAAATATTAAAAGAATTGAGACATTCAAGCCGTCTGGGGGTAATATCCGATCAATGTTTGGATATGAACACATTTATAATGAACCTATAAAAGTATTGTAATGTGAATCAAAAAGTGTATAAAAGGTTATTATTTAGTTTATTTTGATAATGACTTGATTGATCCGAGTATATACTGTCATGTAATTAGGTTTCTATGGTAGCCGCGTTGCTATGTTTATTACCACGGAGTGAGGTTTGCACTTCCTTACAGTGGTGATACTTTTCTAATTTTATTTTTGGTCAGCGATTATACTCAGTATATATAATGTTTCGTATCATTTGGGTGCACTGCGTCTATAAGTAGAAAAATGATATCATACAAGAATTTGCATATATATTGGAGTTGACATCATGTTGAAATTGTGATAAAAGTCAGTTTGTTTAGTGATGACACACGCCTTTCATTGTGTTTGAAAATATTTGAGAAATAACATTTATTAAAATTAGAAACTAATATTACATGTGTACATTTATCACTGTTATTATAAATCACGTCATTATGTTGCTACTTGTTGCTATGCTTATATGTCACGTGATTGCTTCCTACGTAAATAATCAGAACACGCGCAACAAACGTTCCATAGACCCAGGCGTACTCTATAGGAAGGGGATCTAGATATATGCGCCGGGCTGGCCTTCTCTTGAAAGATGCAATGTAGACAAAAACATACATTTTTTAATATTGTTGTTCGATACTTTATACTGTAGAACAAATCGAGTTATGATTTGCCATAAAAACTAAAATTGTCCCTTTCAAAGGACACACACACGGTAGATGACAAATCAAAACCACTAAAACGCATGTGCATTGACTGCAAAACAACCCGTGCGCATGCGTATTAGATAATTTCCTTCTTTCGTCGAACGAAATCTCAGACGTGCGTTACAAAAACAGCGTTTTCAAGTTGTTATAAATGAGAGTTCAATTTATTCATCATCATACAGTATCCAACAACAATATCAATAATTACATGTTTTCGTTCATCTTTACGGAAAATTATTTGATCCGGATCATTTGTTACTGGCGTATGCTATCGAATTTAAATATCTGCGTCAGATGTATTCTAGCTGTAATGTGTACGTTTCATAAACGAATGTTGTCCCAAACTTGAAGTAGGCAAACTTGGTGCATATTGATGCGGTATCACAGTGTCGCGTAGTAGATTTATCACCGGATTGCTCCATGAACTAAATTGGAATGATACAGCGTCAATGTGGAACATTTTGAGTATATTTTAATAACGTTTTCAATATTGTATTTATTAAAGACATCATGGCTTTCTTGTTCATAAAATAAAACTCTAAGTTTGGCAGCAAACATAAACATTTGTTCGAGCAATTTAAAGTATTTCATTGCCGATTTTTTGGCAAGCAGAGCATTTAACCAGCATGAGGCAAAACAGGGTTTGAAGTTATTAGGACGGGCAAAACTGAGTCAGGATTCAGACCCATTGCATTCGCCAGGTGTGGCCCTCGTGTGTTACTTAACAGTATATGTTACTTCTGTCCCTAAACTGGTCACGCAATTATTACTAGTCAGGCAATTAGGCTGCAGGATGCGGTTAGTTTACTATAGTATAGGAAGTGTATCGGAACACGCTCAAACTAAGGGTTTCGTGGCGAAACGTGAGCTCGTAATATCCGAGATATACCGAAAAACACCGATCCCCAATAATTTTGTTTAGATGTTGGCTACAATGGCCGAAAATCGAATTAAAATGGAAACTTTTGTTCATGTTTACCGCAACTTGCTAACGACTCGGTATCCGAATTTCCAGGTGTAACGAACCGTCACGGACGATAGTAGAATACTGACCTAAATTCTTTTGAATTTATGGCAACTTTTAAATTTAAATTTACACTCCAAACCCTCAAGTCCCAACCCCCCAAAAGAGTGTTCAAATGAGGCTGTATTAAACTACAGTCACAGTAGTAAATCCTAACTAGAACTAATTAAATTTCCTTATCAATCACCTAAGGCATATATTTACATATTAGTTTGACATATACGAAGGCAATTAATATTTCTTTGGTTATATATATTCTCTTTATTCCTGAAATTCCAACGTTGCTTTATTATAATAAGGACGAACGCGGCTACTACACATTTGAAACTAGATTTCCCTGAAATGTTGCCAAGTTGCTACAACTTTATTTTCAAATCTGACGAAACAAATGGTGGTTAATCGAACTAGTTTATAGTCAGTAGTATAATGAATTTTGACCAATTTTCAATTCAAGATGGCCGAAAGAAGAACGGAGGAAAATCACAGTTAGGCTACCCATCTTTTTATTTAATTGTTCATTTATTTAGTAAAACATTCCGTTCAGCAACATATCAAGAATGTGAAACGAGTGTGATAAGGCTGTGCGTTTAGGTTCTCGCTACCTTCGATTATTAGTACTTGAACAAGTTTGTATTGTATTGAGCCGCAATGGCAGTGCAACAGTCCGCACGGCAATTTATGAATTCGTGGTGATTTATGGATTCATGGACTACAGGTAACTGACATATACCAGAAACTTTATGTTTGTTTGTTTTCTGGGCCTTGCGTCACCGCGGATTCTAGACTGGTTTGTGTAGCATCGCAAAATGACAGCGCTGCCCGAGGGCGCTGCCACCGGCGTTTCAAACCAATCACAAGTCTAGTGGAATGTAACACAGATTGAAACACACTTTTCAAAACTGGCGGACCGTTCACACAAACAGTCATCGCACGATTAAGTTAGGTAATTACTGAAAGCAAAAATGTAACTATATTCGAAATATCTCAATGGACTATCAACTGACTTTACGACCGCGTCCCTCCCATGCAGTATAAATGTAACGCCTGCGCTCATTGTGTCCGCGTTTTCATAAAGCATTTAATAACACGATTTCGATCGACAAAAGAAATACAATAGATTTCATTGACCCGAGTTGTGGCAGTGATTACATCACCGCGTACAGGTCTAAGTAAAAACCTCGCCCGTCCCGAGTCCCGTAATATCGTCATTTATCTCTCAGTAGGGTAACAGGTAAACGTGTTTGCAGTAGGAGTGTGGCCGGTTGATTGTTGTACTTATTTTTACTCGGAATGAAGGGAGGCAAAGTCAGCAAGTACGAAAGTATGGCCATTGATTCGCTAAAAAGGTGACTCACACGAAGGTCCACGTCGCAGCATATATAAAGGTAGGAGGTCATTCAAACTTGTTTGTGTCGGTTGGAAGTATGAAAACAGACTTGCGGACATTCCTATACTGTTTAATCATTCAAGTGTTAACTAAGGTCCGTGTTAAAATCGGTGGCGACCACACACACTACATACAAGCTTACTGGCACGACTCGGACAGTTAAACAAATGTCCCCTATTCAGTGATTGTTTGAAGGCTTTTTGTACGTCACATGAATACACAAATGTTGCTCGTTTGTGACGTATCTAACTGGTGTACAGCCGAGCTATTACTTTCGATGTCGTGGAGTCCAATAACCCAATCTTATACCAGTCTAATTTCTGTAATTGCGTTCACTGTTCAGCCGTAACGCGTGAAGCTACGATCTTGAACCCGAAGTTGAACTGAAAGTAGACATGCACCAGTTCTTATGCAAATCTGCTCGATGTACATTGTATCAAGACTATTAAACTTCTGTTAATGAGATTGACCTTTGGCCATACATGAATCACTCATGTATTGTACCTATTTAGCGGTCGCAAGAGTTTTTAGGTAAAACGACACATTGTATATATCTTTTGATTGGTCCCAGACCGGCGTACGCACTACCTGGCTGTCTAAGAATCAACTGACTTAATATATGTTTATATAATTTTGGCTTACATATAAATTATTTCAAGTTGCCAAAGATTGAGAACTTTCTCCCAAAAGCGTGAAAGCATATTGGGAGGCATATTG